CATAGTAAACCTGAAACAGAAGGTTGCTGTGTTGTAGCCCTTCATGGCAGAGGCTTAGTGCAATCCATAGTAAACCTTAAACAGAAGGTTGCTGTGTTGTAGCCCTTCATGGAAGAGGCTTAGTGCAATCCATAGTAAACCTGAAACAGAAGGTTGCTGTGTTGTAGCCCTTCATGGCAGAGGCTTACTGCAATCCATAGTAAACCTGAAACAGAAGGTTGCTGTGTTGTAGCCCTTCATGGAAGAGGCTTAGTGCAATCCATAGTAAACCTTAAACAGAAGGTTGCTGTGTTGTAGCCCTTCATGGCAGAGGCTTAGTGCAATCCATAGTAAACCTGAAACAGAATGTTGCTGTGTTGTAGCCCTTCATGGAAGAGGGTTAGTGCAATCAATAGTAAACCTTAAACAGAAGGTTGCTGTGTTGTAGCCCTTCATGGCAGAGGCTTAGTGCAATCCATAGTAAACCTGAAACAGACGGTTGCTGTGTTGTAGCCCTTCATGGAAGAGGCTTAGTGCAATCCATAGTAAACCTTAAACAGAAGGTTGCTGTGTTGTAGCCCTTCATGGCAGAGGCTTAGTGCAATCCATAGTAAACCTGAAACAGAATGTTGCTGTGTTGTAGCCCTTCATGTCAGAGGCTTAGTGCAATCCATAGTAAACCTTAAACAGAATGTTGCTGTGTTGTAGCCCTTCATGACAGAGGCTAAGTGCAATCCATAGTAAACCTTAAACAGAAGGTTGCTGTGTTGTAGCCCTTCATGTCAGAGGCTTAGTGAAATCCAAAGTAAACCTTAAACAGAAGGTTGCTGTGTTGTAGCCCTTCATGGCAGAGGCTTAGTGCAATCCATAGTAAACCTGAAACAGAAGGTTGCTGTGTTGTAGCCCTTCATGGCAGAGGCTTAGTGCAATCCATAGTAAACCTGAAACAGAAGGTTGCTGTGTTGTAGCCCTTCATGTCAGAGGCTTAGTGCAATCCATAGTAAACCTTAAACAGACGGTTGCTGTGTTGTAGCCCTTCGTGGAAGAGGCTTAGTGCAATCCATAGTAAACCTGAAACAGAAGGTTGCTGTGTTGTAGCCCTTCATGGCAGAGGCTTAGTGCAATCCATAGTAAACCTTAAACAGAAGGTTGCTGTGTTGTAGCCCTTCATGGAAGAGGCTTAGTGCAATCCATAGTAAACCTTAAACAGAAGGTTGCTGTGTTGTAGCCCTTCATGTCAGAGGCTTAGTGCAATCCATAGTAAACCATAACAGAATGTTGCTGTGTTGTAGCCCTTCATGGCAGAGGCTTAGTGCAATCCATAGTAAACCTTAAACAGAAGGTTGCTGTGTTGTAGCCCTTCATGGCAGAGGCTAAGTGCAATCCATAGTAAACCTTAAACAGAAGGTTGCTGTGTTGTAGCCCTTCATGGCAGAGGCTTAGTGCAATCCATAGTAAACCTTAAACAGAAGGTTGCTGTGTTGTAGCCCTTCATGTCAGAGGCTTAGTGCAATCCATAGTAAACCTGAAACAGAAGGTTGCTGTGTTGTAGCCCTTCATGGCAGAGGCTTAGTGCAATCCATAGTAAACCTGAAACAGAAGGTTGCTGTGTTGTAGCCCTTCATGGAAGAGGCTTAGTGCAATCCATAGTAAACCTTAAACAGAATGTTGCTGTGTTGTAGCCCTTCATGGCAGAGGCTTAGTGCAATCCATAGTAAACCTGAAACAGAATGTTGCTGTGTTGTAGCCCTTCATGGAAGAGGCTTAGTGCAATCAATAGTAAACCTTAAACAGAAGGTTGCTGTGTTGTAGCCCTTCATGGCAGAGGCTTAGTGCAATCCATAGTAAACCTGAAACAGACGGTTGCTGTGTTGTAGCCCTTCATGGAAGAGGCTTAGTGCAATCCATAGTAAACCTTAAACAGAAGGTTGCTGTGTTGAAGCCCTTCATGGCAGAGGCTTAGTGCAATCCATAGTAAACCTTAAACAGAAGGTTGCTGTGTTGTAGCCCTTCATGTCAGAGGCTTAGTGCAATCCATAGTAAACCTGAAACAGAATGTTGCTGTGTTGTAGCCCTTCATGACAGAGGCTAAGTGCAATCCATAGTAAACCTGAAACAGAAGGTTGCTGTGTTGTAGCCCTTCATGTCAGAGGCTTAGTGAAATCCAAAGTAAACCTTAAACAGAAGGTTGCTGTGTTGTAGCCCTTAATGGCAGAGGCTTAGTGCAATCAATAGTAAACCTGAAACAGAAGGTTGCTGTGTTGTAGCCCTTCATGGCAGAGGCTTAGTGCAATCCATAGTAAACCTGAAACAGAAGGTTGCTGTGTTGTAGCCCTTCATGTCAGAGGCTTAGTGCAATCCATAATAAACCTTAAACAGAAGGTTGCTGTGTTGTAGCCCTTCATGTCAGAGGCTTAGTGAAATCCAAAGTAAACCTTAAACAGAAGGTTGCTGTGTTGTAGCCCTTCATGGCAGAGGCTTAGTGCAATCCATAGTAAACCTTAAACAGAAGGTAGCTGTGTTGTAGCCCTTCATGTCAGAGGCTTAGTGCAATCCATAGTAAACCTTAAACAGAGTGTTGCTGTGTTGTAGCCCTTCATGACAGAGGCTAAGTGCAATCCATAGTAAACCTTAAACAGAAGGTTGCTGTGTTGTAGCCCTTCATGTCAGAGGCTTAGTGAAATCCAAAGTAAACCTTAAACAGAATGTTGCTGTGTTGTAGCCCTTCATGGCAGAGGCTTAGTGCAATCCATAGTAAACCTGAAACAGAAGGTTTCTGTGTTGTAGCCCTTCATGGCAGAGGCTTAGTGCAATCCATAGTAAACCTTAAACAGAAGGTTGCTGTGTTGTAGCCCTTCATGTCAGAGGCTTAGTGAAATCCAAAGTAAACCTTAAACAGAAGGTTGCTGTGTTGTAGCCCTTCATGGCAGAGGCTTAGTGCAATCCAAAATTAACCTGAAACAGAAGGTTGCTGAGTTTTTGCCCTTCATGGCAGAGGCTTAGTGCAATTCATTATAAAATTCAACCTGTATCATAAAATCAGCATACAGCACTAAAATATGATAGTAATCATAATTGTTAAGGGCGACAACGCGACAATGCGATTATCAAAAGGTCGCGTTGTCGCGTTGTCACGCATTTTAAGGCCTTTTTTACACATTTTTGATGGGGCGACAACGTAACATATTTTCACCTTGAAAAATGTCGCATTGTCGCCTTTTCGTAAAATGAAAAAGATTATGCTACGCGCGACAATGCGACAAATATCACGTTGTCACATTGTTGCGCTTTGGTTAATTTTGATACGTTTTGCTTGTTTTTGGAAGGGCGACAATACGAAAACAATGGCCAAATATCGCGTTGTCACATTGTTGCGCTTTGGTTAATTTTTGATACGTTTTGCATGTTTTTGGAAGGGCGACAATGCGAAAACACGACAATGCGCTTTATGTCCCTTCTTCGGTTCCATACTTTCGTGATCGATCAACGCCCAGCGATTTTCTGTTTGTCTCTATTAACTAATTAGAGTTTTTTAGAGGGTTGATATCAGTGTATCATGTAACCTCATAGCATCTGTCAACACTTTCAGCTACAGATTTAGTGTATCACGTACCCTCATAGCATCTGTCAACACTTTAAGCTACAGATTTAGTGTATCATGTACCCTCATAGCATCTGTCAACACTTTCAGCTACAGATTTAGTGTATCATGTACCCTCATAGCATCTGTCAACACTTTCAGCTACTAATTTAGTGTATCATGTACCCTCATAGCATCTGTCAACACTTTCAGGTATTGATTTAGTGTATCATGTACCCTCATAGCATCTGTCAACACTTTCAGCTACAGATTTAGTGTATCACGTACCCTCATAGCATCTGTCAACACTTTAAGCTACTGATTTAGTGTATCATGTACCCTTAGGGCATCTGTCAACACTTTCAGCTACTGATATAGTGTATCATGTAACCTCATAGCATCTGTCAACACTTTCAGCTACAGATTTAGTGTATCACGTACCCTCATAGCATCTGTCAACACTTTAAGCTACTGATTTAGTGTATCATGTACCCTCATAGCATCTGTCAACACTTTCAGCTACAGATTAAGTGTATCATGTACCCTCATAGCATCTGTCAACACTTTCAGCTACAGATTTAGTGTATCATGTACCCTCATAGCATCTGTCAACACTTTCAGCTACTGATTTCGTGTATCATGTACCCTCATAGCATCTGTCAACACTTTCAGCTGCTGATTTAGTGTATCATGTACCCTCATAGCATGTGTCGACACTTTCAGCTACTGATTTAGTGTATCATGTACCCTCATAGCATCTGTCGGCACTTTCAGCCACTGATGTAGTGTATCATGTACCCTCATAGCATCTGTTGACACTTTCAGCTGCTGATTTAGTGTATCATGTACCCTCATAGCATGTGTCGGCACTTTCAGCTACTGATGTAGTGTATCATGTACCCTCATAGCATCTGGTAACACTTTCAGCTGCTGATTAAGTGTACCATGTCCCCTCATAGCATCTGTCGACAGTTTCAGCTACTGATTTAGTGTATCATGTACCCTCATAGCATCTGGTAACACTTTCAGCTGCTGATTAAGTGTACCATGTCCCCTCATAGCATCTGTCGACAGTTTCAGCTACTGATTTAGTGTATCATGTACCCTCATAGCATCTGGTAACACTTTCAGCTGCTGATTAAGTGTATCATGTACCCTCAGCATCTGTCGACACTTTCAGCTACTAATTTAGTGTATCATGTACCCTCATAGCATGTGTCAACACTTTCAGCTGCTGATTAAGTGTATCATGTACCCTCATAGCATCTGTCGACACTTTCAGCTGCTGATTTAGTGTATCATGTACCCTCATAGCACTTTCAACAACTGGCTAAGCTTCATTTTGCTCAGTAACCCACTGCAATCAATGAAGCCAGTACCATTCGCTATTATAATGTACTGACATTCGTGATTTCAGTGAAATCCTCAAACAGGACACAAGTTCAGGTTTTAGACTTTTATGCAAATAAGATTGTCAGCACAGGATACTCGAAAGAGCTTAATGCACAACAAGTTTTATGTACAAATATAAATAACTATGGGATAAACACATGAAAACAAAAGACCGTCATCAATCTGTTATGGATGTTTTGTTTGTTTGTTGTTTAACGCTGCACTCAGCAATATTCCAGCTACATGATGGCGGTCAAGTGATTGACATCATGAGCATCGATCCATGCAATTGGGATCGATGACATGCATCAACCAAGTCAGGGAGCTTGACCACCCGATCCCGTTAGTCGTCTCTTACGACAAGCATAGTCGACTTTTACAGCAAGCATGGGTTGCTGAAGACCTATTCTACCCCGGATCTTCACGGGTCTGTTATGGATGTGCACCAGAGCTGAGATCATACTTGAACAAGGACGGACACTTCTATCAACATATGTACAAAATATTTAGAAAAGGGCAAGACCATTATAATTACTGCTTTCCCCACCACACCACAAAATGCCTGAAGGCAGGAGGGACAAAATATAAATTATTATAATCAAACATGGGTCTTCGGCGTGACAAGCAAACGCTTTAACCACTAAGCTACCCCACAGTCCAAATTGACTTAAGCTTCCATATCACACTTTAACATAGATCAATGTAACTTAATTTGGAGATTAATTGAAACAATTATTTCCCATAACAGGCTTCCTTTTCCTTTTTTGAAAACGACTTAGATTTCAGTGTCAGATAGATCTGTAAAAAGTAATTGTATTGGTCTTGCCCAATAAAAAAAGCAAAACCAGGCTCCAAATGAAAGAATCTAAGAATGATACATTGTTGCATGATACAAATGCTGTGACTGTCAGTGATATATAAACACGAAAACCTAATGAAACTGATGCCCAAAGATAAGTTGGAGCTAGCTAATTGAGACAATACACTCGACACATATCTGTGTATGTTCCCGGTGCAGTGAAATGGGGTTTAACGTCAAATCCAAGAGTATTGCACTTATATAGCGATGTGCATGTCCGTGTGTGTGTGTGTGTGTGTGTGTGTGTGTGACATTTTGGCTGGACTAACAGGTCTATGCATAGTTCAATCAAACTCAAACGAGAGATAGAATCCGATTGGTCAATTGGAGGGACATAGAAGGTACATAACTCGTAGTTGCCACTGGTGGTGCTACGATTGAGCCTGAAAATTCAAGCCTAGTTCGGCAAGGGTGGATACTGGACTTTTATTGGCAAACTCAACAGGAAGTCGCAAGCCAAATGACAATTTCAAAATGTCTATAATTAAGGCCATGCCATTATATTGTTGTGAATAATTTAAAGAATCTGTCATTTCTTAGTGCGTCTGCACCCAAAAGAATATTTGTTCTGTGTAGACTTATGTAGAAATTGGAATGTCCAAATCAAGGAGGTGAAAAAATGAAGCCAAATCATTTAGAAAGCTGATGTCCATCATTAAAATGGGGCGGTCAAGTATGCTCAGGGTTGTCATATCTTCAACCTGAGAGGTAATGCATCTGAGTAAAAGATGTTTTTAGTGAGACTCCATCGTTATTGTGACCTTATGATAGTATCACATATTTGATCATGACAAAAAACTCCAAACACCTCAATCATGGCAGTATTGACATTTTGCCTTTAGGGACTGGTCATTTATATAGGGGGGGGGGGGGGGGAAGTGGGGGCAGGAGAAGGGCAGTGGGATTTGTCTAAGGGCTGTATCATATTTTGCAGATTCCTCCGCCCGACGACATTTTATGTACCAATTTTTAATGACCCTCAACCCTATAATAAATGACCAGTTTCTAAATAACGTTCTAATCTAAATATATTTTTTGAAAAAATAGAACTGCAATTTTTTCATGCAGCCCCCACTCCCCCAATAGTTGTAATAAATTTAGGTTCTGCCACCCTCTCGGTCACTGTCATTCCTTTTTCATGCTGTAATGAATGACCAGATGGCAACAGATAGAACAAAATATCACATGAGAAATATATAACTTAAACCAAAAATGAGAAAGTTCTCAAAATATTATACTGAAAATGTTCTAAAAATTTACAGTAGATTGCAATACATATCAAATATTCAACAAAAATAAATTCAAATATGTAATCTAAAATTGACCAGCAATTCAACATTTACATTATATTACAACGTCGTATTCATATATACAGTTTGTTTGTTGTTTAATGCCGCACTAGGCAATATTCCAGCTATATGATGGTGGTCTGTAAATAATCGAGTCTGGACAAGAAAATCCAGTGATTGACATCATGAGCATCCATCTACGCAATTTGGATACGGCAACATGCATCAACCAAGTCAGTGAGCCTGACCACCCGATCTCGTTAGTCGCCTCTGATGACAAGCATGAGTAGCTGAAGACCTATTCCCTAGCAGCGTCACAAATATACAGATTCTCATAAGCTAATGATGGTTTGGTTATCAACATATTTTAAACATTTGTAAAAACATGATTTAGTCTGTTGTGTATGGCACAGCAAAAACATCAAGGTCACATGATCAGTAAGGACAATGCAATGTGGAAAAAGCTAAAACCACGGACACGCGTGAAGCGAGAAACGTAAGTGTGTGTGTGTCATGTAAGATGAACGCTCATTGATCTGAGCACTCGCTGGCTTTGCTCTCGATGGAACCACACGTCCGTTCCACAAAGTGATTGCAACTCCAATACTACATAATAGACTTACGACTGTGGCAGGTTTACGATGGTTTGTGGAGAGGGGCCCGGGCCCGACGCGTTCAGTTGTGGTGGGTGCTACTGGTAGGGCAGAAAATGCTTACCCTTTTTGCAAACACCTGGTGTCATATACTGATTTTCAGTGATCCATTCATCAAATTTTCACCACTTTTTCCTTTTACGCTCCACTGAATCTGTTTCGGGAGATTGAGACTAATTGTTCTCTGTCTTTCACATTATATACTTAAAAAGAGCTGCTACTACACTGCAAAATGGCCATATGTATGTATGGTTATGGAGGACGTTGTGTACACACAACAATAAATTAACGATTAGAAAGAGAATGACTTGGCTGGGGAAATCACGTGTTCAGCGCATGTAGGTCGATTGGCATGAAAAGCATGCATGACCAAGACTGATGGGAGGTGACGCTAGGTGTGTTCGGTTGCATTGTTTTTCAGAAGCTGGAAACCTTTGTTTAGGCATGTTACCACTTCGGATCAAAAGAAGAATGAGAAATGCATAATGTGAGACAGGCTTACATTTTTGTTTATTTACAATACTAAGCCTATTTTCATTCAGTCATTTATTAACTTTTTACAAATTCAAGCGACTGCTTAGCTTTAGATGAAAATATCTGGCTTATTAATAACACAACATTTTTTTGTCTACTAGTTCATGAATTTGCTCAATACAGCAGATTGATCACCATATAAAAAAATAAATCTCCCACATGATAATAATTACAATACCCAAATCAATGATTCATCAAGATATATGTCCAGTTTCTAAATTCCAGTAAGGTATTTTGGGAAATATGTGGTCCCATGTGCAACAGTTAACATCATCAATACTTTCATGCATAAAACACCAATCAATGGCCTTGTAAGAATCTATGTAAACTCAGCAGCAGCACGTGTAAGAGGAGGTAAAACACTGGATGATATAGCATGGAATGACAAGGAATGACATGAAATAACATAGAATGACATGGAATAAGGTGGAATAGCATAGAATAACATGGAATAAGGCGGAATAACATAGAATGACATGGAATGACATAAAATAACATAGAATGACATGGAATAAGGTGGAATAGCACAGAATAACATGGAATAAGGCAGAATAACATAGAATGACATGGAATGACATAAAATAACATAGAATGACATGGAATAAGGTGGAATAGCATAGAATAACATGGAATAACATAGAATGACATGGAATGACATAAAATAACATAGAATGACATGGAATAAGGTGGAAAAACATAGAATGACATGGAATGACATGAAATAACATAGAATGACATGGAATAAGGTGGAATAACATAGAATGACATGGAATGACATGAAATAACATAGAATGACATGGAATAAGGTGGAATAACATAGAATAACATAGAATGACATGGAATAAGGTGGAATAACATAGAATGACATAGAATAACATAGAATGACATGGAATAACATAGAATGATATAGAATAACATAGAATGACATGGAATAAGGTGGAATAACATAGAATGACATAGAATAACATAGAATGACATGGAATAATGTGGAATAACATACAATGACATGAGGAAGTGATGAAAATGTACTGACACAATCACTGAGACCATCAATGAGTGCAGGTACTGTGCAAACTATATTTATTATGAATAATCTTCTTTTCTTTCATAAGGTCAATTTATTTCTTCTTTAACAGAACTATTTGTAACTTTTAGCCATTTTCTCTCAACCAATTTTGTAACAGGAAATAACTGTGCCCTCCCCACCCCCCACCAACTGCTCCCCTCCCCGGAACACACACTGAAAGAATGTTTTTTTCAATTATGAATTATTGGAGGCCTATTTTTTGCATTGTGTCATTCCAAAACTAATGTCTGATGGTGAATGGTTCCATACTATTGAACATAATATGATGGAGATGTGATACACTGGATCATGGAGGATGCTGAACTATAGCTTGACATCATCTTGCACTGCACCACAATTAATCTCCTCCACAGGACCTCTCCACATACAGTCACCCTGCAGGATCTCCTCCACAGGACCTCTCCACATACAATCACCCTGCAGGATCTACTCCACAGGTCCTCTCCACACACGATCACCCTGCAGGATCTCCTCCACAGGACCTATCCACATACAATCACCCTGCAGGATCTCCTCCACAGGACCTCTCCACACGATCACTCTGCAGGATCTACTCCACAGGACCTCTCCACACATGATCACTCTGCAGGATCTCCTCCATAGGACCTCTCCACATGATCACCCTGCAGGATCTACTCCACAGGACCTCTCCACACGATCACCCTGCAGGATCAACTCCACAGGACAACTCCACACGATCACCCTGCAGGATCTACTCCACAGGACCTCTCCACATGATCACCTTGCAGGATCTACTCCACAGGACCTCTCCACATGATCACCCTGAAGGATCTACTCCACAGGACCTCTCCACACACGATCACCCTGCAGGATCTACTCCACAGGACCTCTCCACATGATCACCCTGCAGGATCTACTCCACAGGACCTCTCCACATGATCACCCTGCAGGATCTCCTCCACAGGACCTCTCCACACGATCACCCTGCAGGATCTCCTCCACAGGACCTCTCCACATACAATCACCCTGCAGGATCTCCTCCACAGGACCTCTCCACATACAATCACCCTGCAGGATCTCTTCCACAGGACCTCTCCACACACGATCACCCTGCAGGATCTACTCCAAAGGACCTCTCCACACACGATCACCCTGCAGGATCTCCTCCACAGGACCTCTCCACATACAATCACCCTGCAGGATCTCCTCCACAGGACCTTTCCACATACAATCACCCTGCAGGATCTCTTCCACAGGACCTCTCCACACAATCACTCTGCAGGATCTACTCCACAGGACCTCTCCACACATGATCACTCTGCAGGATCTCCTCCATAGGACCTCTCCACATGCAATCACCCTGCAGGATCTACTCCACAGGACCTCTCCACATGATCACCCTGCAGGATCTACTCCACAGGACCTCTCCACATGATGACCCTGCAGGATCTACTCCACAGGACCTCTCCACATGATCACCCTGCAGGATCTACTCCAAAGGACCTCTCCACACGATCACCCTGCAGGATCTACTCCACAGAACCTCTCCACACATGATCACCCTGCAGGATCTACTCCACAGAACCTCTCCACACATGATCACCCTGCAGGATTTCTCTGCACAGGTTCCCTGCACCGAATCACCTTCCGGAATCTACCCACACAGGATCCAGGCACACACATTTGCTGCTGTGTGTTGTGAAGGCAAACATCATTTTATGACACACACTTTGCTGCTCCTGGGGGTGGGGGGAGTGTTGTGAAGACATACATCAGTTTATGACACACACTTTGCTGCTCCTGGGGGTCGGGGGAGTCTTGTGAAGACAAACATCAGATTATGAAACACACTTTGCTGCTCCTGGGGGTGGGGGGAGTGTTGTGAAGGCATACATCAGTTTATGACACACACTTTGCTGCTCCTGGGGGTCGGGGGAGTCTTGTGAAGTCAAACATCAGTTTATGAAACACACTTTGCTGCTCCTGGGGGTGGGGGGAGTGTTGTGAAGGCATACATCAGTTTATGACACACACTTTGCTGCTCCTGGGGGTGGGGGGAGAGTTGTGAAGGCATACATCAGTTTATGAAACACACTTTGCTGCTCCTGGGGGTGGGGGGAGTGTTGTGAAGGCATACATCAGTTTATGACAAAATCTTTGCTGCTCCTGGGGGTGGGGGGAGTGTTGTGAAGACATACATCAGTTTATGACACACACTTTGCTGCTCCTGGGGGTCGGGGGAGAGTTGTGAAGACACTCATCAGTTTATGACAAAAACTTTGCTGCTCCGGGGGTTGGGGGGAGTGTTGTGAAGGCATACATCAGTTTATGACACACACTTTGCTGCTCCTGGGGATGGGGAGGGGGAGCGTTGTGAAGACGTACATCAGTTTATGACACACACTTTGCTGCTCCTGGGGGTGGGGGGAGCTACCGCCAACTGGGGCGTACCACCATTCATCTGCATCCGCTGCTGCTCTGCCTGAAGTTGATTTAGCTGGGTCTGAAAAAATGGGAATAAAGATGTGAGTACCTATATGACGGTGGTCTGTAAATAATCAAGTCTGGACCAGACAATCCAGTGATTGACATCATGAACATCGATCTACGAAATTAGGATACAATGACATGTATCAACCAAGTCAGTGAGCCTGACCACCAGATCCCGTTAGTCGACTCTTACGACAAGCAAAGCCGCCTTTTACGGTAAGCATGGGTTGCTGAAGACCTATGAGTACCTGAGTGAATATCAGTGAATGGACTTCTTGGTTGTAAATGTAGTAATAAGAGGATGAGGGAAAGGAAGGCTGAGGCTTTCCTCATGAGATCCCAAGGGCAAGCACACCGATCCTAGGATCTTGCACACTGATCCAAAAACCTACACACTTACCACTAGTGCCCTATACAAGGATCAAACAGTTCTGCACACTAACCTCAGGGCGTGCACACTCTCCCAAACTACCTGCACATGGACCCCAAAGACCCTACACAATCATTAAATGGCTCTGCACCCTAAGGATCAAGCAGCTCTGCACACTAAACTTAGGGCATGCACACTCTCCTGAACAGCCTGCACATTGACCCCTAGAATCCTACACAAGGATCAAACAGCTCTGCACACAAAGGATCAAGCAGCTCTGCACACTAAACTCAGGGCCTGCACACTCTCCCAAACTACTTGCACACGCACCCCAAGGACCATACACAATGATCAAACAGCTCTGCACACAAAGGATCAAGCAGCTCTGCACACTAAACTCAGGGCATGCACACTCTCCTGAACAGCCTGCAAACTGACACCTAGAATCCTACACAAGGATCAAACAGCTCTGCACACAAAGGATCAAACAGCTCTGCACACAAAGGATCAAGCAGCTCTGCACACTAAACTCAGGGCATGCACACTCTCCTGAACAGCCTGCACACTGACCCCTAGAATCCTACACAAGGATCAAACAGCTCTGCACACAAAGGATCAAACAGCTCTGCACACAAAGGATGAAACAGCTCTGCACACTAAACTCAGGGCATGCACACTCTCCTGAACAGCCTGCACATTGACCCCTAGAATCCTACACAAGGATCAAACAGCTCTGCACACAAAGGATCAAGCAGCTCTGCACACTAAACTCAGGGCATGCACACTCTCCCAAACTACCTGCACACGCACCCCAAGGACCATACACAATGATCAAACAGCTCTGCACACAAAGGATCAAGCAGCTCTGCACACTAAACTCAGGGCATGCACACTCTCCTGAACAGCCTGCAAATTGACCCCTAGAATCCTACATAAGGATCAAACAGCTCTGCACACAAAGGATCAAGCAGCTCTGCACACTAAACTCAGGGCATGCACACTCTCCCAAACTACCTGCACACGCACCCCAAGGACCATACACAATGATCAAACAGCTCTGCACACAAAGGATCAAGCAGCTCTGCACACTAAACTCAGGGCATGCACACTCTCCTGAACAGCCTGCAAATTGACCCCTAGAATCCTACATAAGGATCAAACAGCTCTGCACACAAAGGATCAAGCAGCTCTGCACACTAAACTCAGGGCATGCATACTCTCCTGAACAGCCTGCACATTGACCCCTAGAATCCTACACAAGGATCAAACAGCTCTGCACACTAAACGCAGGGCGTGCACACTCTCCCAAACTACCTGCACATGGACCCCAAAGGCCCTACACAATCATTAAATGGCTCTGCACCCTAAGGATCAAACAGCTCTGCACACAAAGGATGAAGCAGCTCTGCACACTAAACTCAGGGCATGCACACTCTCCTGAACAGCCTGCACATTGACCCCTAGAATCCTACATAAGGATCAAACAGCTCTGCACACAAAGGATCAAACAGCTCTGCACACTAAACTCAGGGCATGCATACTCTCCTGAACAGCCTGCACATTGACCCCTAGAATCCTACACAAGGATCAAACAGCTCTGCACACTAAACGCAGGGCCTGCACACTCTCCCAAACTACCTGCACATGGACCCCAAAGGCCCTACACAATCATTAAATGGCTCTGCACCCTAAGGATCAAACAGCTCTGCACACAAAGGATGAAGCAGCTCTGCACACTAAACTCAGGGCATGCACACTCTCCTGAACAGCCTGCACATTGACCCCTAGAATCCTACACAAGGATCAAACAGCTCTGCACACAAAGGATCAAACAGCTCTGCACACAAAGGATCAAACAGCTCTGCACACTGACCTGAAGGTCCTGCACAGCCTTCTGATTGTCCTGTAGCGTTGATGTCCGAGATTCCAGTTCTGTCTTCAAGCGGGAGATTTCCGACTGCAGGGCCTGTTCCCTCTCCTACAACACACAACATATCCACACTCTTTAACATGATCAATGTGGAGTTTTCTTCACTTTCCTTCTGTCTGAGTTTTTTCTCCTCTCTCTTCCAACACAACCACAAATGCCTCTAGAACCCCTCCTCCAGGTGCCCCTCCCATTCCTACTAAAGCAGAGGGTACTACAGGTGTGACTCCCGGCCCTCCTGCTACAGGGGACCCTCCCACTCAAAACAGAAGCCCATACTACAGGTGCCCTCCCACCCTACTACAGGTGCCCCTCCCACTCCTACTAAAGGAGAGGGTACTACAGTTGTGACTCCCACCTCTCCTGCTACAGGGGACCCTCCCACTCAAAACAGGTTTCCTCCCCCCTACTACAGTCGCCCCTCCCACCCTACTACAGGTGTCCTCCCACCCTACTACAGATGCCCCTTTCCTACTACAGGTGTCCTCCCACAGGTGCCCTTCCCCCTACTACATGTGCCCTCCCACCCTACTACAGGTGCCCTCCCCCCTACTACAGGTGCCCTCCCACCCTACAACAGGTGTCCTCCCACCTAATACAGGTGCCCTCCCACCCTACTACAGGTGCCTTCCCCCCTACTACAGGTGCCCTCCCACCCTACTACAGGTGCCCTCCCACCCTACTACAGGTGTCCTCCCACCCTACTACAGATGCCCCTTTCCTACTACAGGTGTCCTCCCACAGGTGCCCTTCCCCCTACTACAGGTGTCCTCCCCCTACTACAGGTGCCCTCCCCCCTACTACATGTGCCCTCCCACCCTACTACCCTCCCCCCTACTACAGGTGCCCTCCCACCCTACAACAGGTGTCCTCCCACCCTACTACAGGTGCCCTCCCCCCCCCCCCCCCTACTACAGGTGCCCCTCCCCCTACTACAGGTGCCCCTCCCCCTACTGCAGGTGGCCTCCCCCTCACCTGGGCACGTTTCTGGACTTCCTGCTTCATCTCCTCCTGTCTGTGACGATGTTCCGCTTCCATCTGACGTATCTTCTCCTCCGCCAGCGACTTCTCCGCCTTCAGCTGCTCCAGCTCGCTCTGACAAAATAACAGTTAGTCCATGTTGACATAAAGAAACATGGTTCTGAAACTTTCATCTCTGATAACAAGCAAATCCATACCACAATTACTCGTAATATCCATAACACACACAGATACTCAAATCAGTCAATTAATACCCTTCTTATCAGAACTACAGTTGATCTCAATATGTAACAGATATATACACCTCTAGGCAGGTGACTTGACACTGTTTGTTTGCTTGTTTTTTGTTTAAAGCCGCACTCAGCAATATTCCAGCTATATGTTTGCAGTCTGTAAATAATCGAGGCTGGACCTGAAAATCCAGTGATTGACATGTGCGTCGATCCACCCAATTGTGATACGACAACATGCATCAGTCAAGTCAGTGAGTCTGACCGCCCGATCCCGTTAGTCACCTCTATTCTCTACCAGGATCTTCACGGGTCAGCTTGACACTGAACCAGACTATTCTTTCAATAGGCAATAAGACAAGGTGTGGGGTTTTACTTTGTCCTGGTAACACTTCATTCCTGCTGAGGTTTTTCTTGTAAGATGAAGTTTGAACTTGGTGTTTCAAACGACCATTGTTCTAAAATCTAAGACATGAATTTAAACTTTTTCCATTATACGACAGAACTGGCTGAAAATAGGTGTTTCATTAGAAGGCACAGTCATCCCTCACAATAACGCCCTTCACAATACTGCGGATTTGTTAAGCCATTGGGTAATAAATGGCTCCCATTTCTCTAGACTGTTGGACCCATGTAAGATCCGGGGTAGAGTAGGTCTTCAGCAACCTGTGCTTGCCTTAAAAGGCAACTGTGCTTGTCGTAAGAGGCGATTAATGGGATCAGGTGGTCAGGCTCGCTGACTTGGTTGATGCATGTCATTGATCCCAATTGCGTGGATCGATGCTCATGATATTAATCACTGGATTGTCTGGTCGACTTGATTAGTCACAGACCGCCGTCATATAGCTGGAATATTTGGCGTTAAACAACAAACCAACCAACCTTTAGACTGCTGTAATGCACTTTAATGCATCATGTCATACAAATTGTTTTGACAAGTATATAAGTCTGAGAAAACGTTTCTCCACAATTTTGGTGGAAAATGTATTCCTTTGGGTTCGGAATAGGCCATTGCCCCAGGTGACAGCCCCAACATACCATCAAGTCCTTCTCCCTCCTCTTGACCGTGACATCAGACACAAAGCCCCGGGCAGCCAGCTGCTCCTTCAGGGCCGTGTCATGGCTGAAGAGACATCAGGGGCTCAGTGAGACATTATCAGGGGCTTAGTGAGACATTATCAGGGGCTTAGTGAGACATTATCAGGGGCTAGTGAGACATTATCAGGGGCTAGTGAGAAATTATCATGGGCTTAGTGAGACATTATCAGGGGCTCAGTGAGACATTATCAGGGGCTAGTGAGAAATTATCATGGGCTTAGTGAGACATTAACAGGGGCTCAGTGAGACAGTATCAGGGGCTCAGTGAGACATTATCAGGGACTTAGTGAGACATTATGAGGGGCTCAGGGAGACATTATCAGAGGCTTAGTGAGACATTATCAGGGGCTTAGTGAGACAATATCAGGAGATGAGCGAGACATTTAGTGAGACATTACTTAGACCACCTACGTTTCTCATAAGCCCTAGCCCGGTACCTACCCATTTCCCCTCCCCAGAGTCTACCCTTTTCCCCTTCCCAGAGTCTACCCTTTTGCCCTTCCCAGAGTCTACCCTTTAGCCTGCCCCCCCAGCGTCTACCCTTTTCCCCTCCCCAGAGTCTACCCTTTTCCCCTTACCAGAGTCTACCCTTTTCCCCTCCTCAGTGTCTACCCTTTTCCCTTCCCCAGCGTCTACCCTTTTCCCCTCCCCAGTGTCTACCCTTTTCCCCTCCCCTGAGTCTACCCTTTTCCCCTCCCCAGTGTCTACCCTTTTCCCCTTACCAGAGTCTACCCTTTTCCCCTCCCTGCCTCCCTGGTACCTACCCTTTTCCACTCCCCTGAGTCTACCCTTTTCCCCTCCCCTGAGTCTACCCTTTTCCCTTCCCCAGTGTCTACCCTTTTCCCCTCCCCTGAGTCTACCCTTTTCCCCTCCCCAGTGTCTACCCATTTCCCCTCCCCTGAGTCTACCCTTTTCCCCTCCCTGGTACCTACCCTTTTCCCCTGCCTCTGCCCTGACTACGTATCCGTGAGAGAGGTTTAGCCACTGCGCCACTACTCTGTTTTGGCTTCACACTGAGAGGTGGTGTGGAACATTTCTGCGGTGTAATGAGTATTTTTCCTTGAGTATTTTTCTTTGCTTCAAACACAGGACCATCACTGAAAATTAAAGAGAAAAGTGGATTAACTTTGACGTTAACAGCAAATTTCAGTAACAACAGTATTTCAGTCATATATCACAACTCATCAGTTTATTGTGGGGGGAAGAGTGAGTGAGTTTAACTGAAGGTTTTATCATACTTGGCTACCCTACCACCCATTATGTGGCAAACACTCTCAATACCACACAATGATTGCTCCCTCAATAAAGCACAATGAGTGCCCCCTCGATACAACACAATGACTGCCCCCTTCAACAAACATAATGACTGCCCCCTTCAACAATCACAATGACTGCCCCCTTCAATACAACACAATGACTGCCCCCTTCAACAAAACACGATGACTGCTCCCTTCAATACAACACAATGACTGCCCCCTTCAACAATCACAATGACTGCCCCCTTCAATACAATACAACACAACAACTGCCTGCTCAATACTTCATGATGACTGACCCCTTTCCTAGGGTTGCCTCGCTGGAGCTGCTGTCAGAGAGGTGATCAAGCGCCAGGTCCACACTCTCGGTGCTGTTGGATGCTGTCCTGTTCCGCGGTGTCTACAACAAGAACAGTTGTACTGCTACCGCTTAGTTCATAATTATTTAAAAACAACTAATGAACAGCAAGTTAATTAACTTTCAGTCTGCCTCAATCACACTATCATTTTCAGACGAAATTCAGTCAGAAAATACATCATAAATAGAAAAAAATCTATTCTTGCCCAAAAACATGTTTATCTCATCCCTTTACCTGAAAAAGTTCATTGACTCATTCACCTGATGAAAAGGCAAGTAGAGCAGGTAGCTCTGAAATGTCATTAGAGTAGTGAGTGAGTATAGTTTTACGCCGCTTTTAGCAATATTCCAGCAATATCACGGCGGGGAACACCAGTAATGGGCTTCACACATTGTACCCATGTCGGTAATTGAACCCGGGTCTTCGGCGTGACGCTTAAACCACTAGGCTACCCGACCCCTCCTTGAAATGTCATTAGAAAGTAAAAAAGAAGTTATTATCAATACATAATAAGTGTCATATTCATGTTCTTCCAACTTCTAAATGCCTTTCAAAGATTTTACTCATAAAAATATCAATGTCATCAGGTCATACTTGATAAGATAAACATCTTTTATCATAAAATGGATAGTGTTATCGATGCAATAAACCATGACACATAATACTGACTCAAAGCTGACCAGTCCTTGTTTGATCCCCTTAATGACATGTGACAGGCTGGGTAACAACAAGTACAATCTTTTAACATCTTTTGGTATGATGTGGCTGGGGCTTGAACCCCTACCTTCAGCTCAACGGGCAAATCATCCATCTATTCAGCCTACTAAAACCATTACATTCAGCCAATGCCATTTCCAAATTAGAGTTTCAAGATCATTCATCGTCAGCTCGTACCTGTTCATCCCCCGACCTCTTATTGCTCAGGCCCAGCCTTGGAGTCAGCTTATCTACCGTCTTCACTGAAACAACACATACCCTGTAAAGACCAATCTCATTAACATTTTCAAGTCCAATACCATAACCCTTTGCATGAAGATATGACAGCCCCTCCTAAGAGGTCATGCCAGGTGAACTTTCTGGTCAACCAATTGGAGCCAAGGCTTCCAAAGTCATAGTATGAGGAGGAAAGCATTCAGATCAATGTGTATAATCTCAAAAACAAACTAAATCGCTCAGTTCAAAATGTAAATAATAAAAGCTGGGAATTTGAATTGTTGATATTTTATACACTGTAAGTGCCAAGGAAGTGCAGACTGCAATCATACAGCTGGAATACTGTTGTGTGCAGCATTCAAAAACAAACAAACAAACAAAATGATGAAAAAGGCGAGGAAATATCTAATGGTTCACCAAATTATTTGGAAACTGTGAAATTCCCACAGAAAAAAAACTGTCCCTGTCCCAGGGAACCTGTAGGTGCCAGCAAAAGCATCAAACCAGGTCATTATTGACATAGTTGATCATAGAGATATACGTCATAGCGTTAAGGTCGCTTTGAAACAGGTGTCATTATGGGTTCATTCTCTAGAGATTTCTGACCCGTGAAGATCCGGGGTAGAATAGGTCTTCAGCATTCCATGCTTGCCGTAAAAGGGACTATGCTTGTTGTAAGAGGCAACTAACAGGATCGGGTGGTCAGGCTCGCTGACTTGGTTGATGCATATCATCGTATCCCATTTGCGGGGATCGATGCTCATAATGTCAATCACTGGATTGTCCGGTTCCGAGTTTATTATTTACAGACAGCCGTCATATATCTAGAATAGTGCGGCGTAAACTACAAATAAAACATATAAACTCTAGAGATTTCGCTCAATCCAAACACTATCAATTTGTGGCATGCACCCAGTAGCAAAAAATATTATTATCATTATCATTATTACCAGGGGTGAGTTCTCTGTTGATCTGTATGCTGGACATGGAGCTGTCAATGAGTCTCATCTCATCCTCTGATTGGTCGCTTGTGTCATCTGCCTCATTCCCATCGTTGCCGTCCACCTCTAGACTGACCAGTTCCTCACGCAGCCATGTCGGTATCTGGAGACAAACAGGTCACAAGGTAACAACCTGATAGTCTGCGTGAGTGAGTGAGTTTGGTTTTACGCCGCTTTTAGCAATATTCCAGCAATATCACGGCAGGGGACACCAGAAATGGGCTTCACACATTATATCCATGTCAGGATTCATACCCGGGTCTTCGGCGTGACGAGCGAACGCTTTAACCACTAGGCTACCCGAGAGAGTCTGCGTGAATTCACACGGTTCATACTAGACTGTCACTTAGTCTTTGACATGAACATAGTTAAAAGGAAGAAATGTTAAATTGTCTGTTAAATACCTATAAGAGAATTGAGCATGGAGAAACATTTTACTCCTGAGGATATCCATCTTCCCGAGGCAAGGGAGTTAACTGACCGCAAAAGTCCAGTTTCCACCCTTGCCCATTTGACTGCACCTATTTTGGCGGGACTAACGAGTCTATGCATAATCCAATCAAAATTGCGTAACAAAATCGACATCTGGTTCGTCGACTGCTGTGCTGACTTCGGTCAATAGCCAATGTGGCGTCAACAGATATTTTCCAAATACTTTGATGTTTTTAATCAAGATGCACATGTGATTTGATGCACTTCGCTATTTTATACAATATAGATCTTGATTACCGATCAGATCATCTTGACTGGGCGCGGCCATTTTGTTTGAAGCAAATGCAAGTGATATGAGAGGGGTTGAATCTGATTGGTCAATAGAAGGGACATAGAAGGGACGCAGCTTGTAAAAGCCACTTGAGGCGCTACAATCGAGCCCAGAAATTCCAGCTAAGATCGGCAAGGGTGGAAACTGGACTTTTACAGTAAGCTAACTCCCCTGCCTCGGGGAGATGGAAGATCCCTAGACTTGCTGACTATTATGGACAATGTACTTTTGTTTCAAAATGTGTGTGAAAGACTATGATGACATATAATGTTTACATGTAAAGGGGGTGGGAGGATATGCATGCATGTAGACCTGGACCAGATGTAGATGCAGATGTAGATGTAGGTGCAGATGTGGATGTAGGAGCAGATATAGACACAGATGTAGATGTTGGTGCAGATGTGGATGCAGATATAGACACAGATGTAGATGTTGGTGCAGATGTGGATGCAGATATAGACACGGATGTAGATGTAGGGGCAGATGTGGATGCAGATATAGACACGGATGTAGATGTTGGTGTAGATGTAGGTGCAGATATAGACACGGATGTAGATGTTGGTGCGGATGTGGATGCAGATATAGACACGGATGTAGATGTAGGTGCAGATATAGACACGGATGTAGATGTAGGGGCAGATGTGGATGTAGATATAGACACGGATGTAGATGTTGGTGCAGATGTGGATGAAGATATAGACACGGATGTAGATGTTGGTGTAGATGTAGGTGCAGATGTAGACACAGATGTAGATGTAGGTGCAGATGTGGATGCAGATAAAGACACAGATGTAGATGTAGGTGCAGATATTGACACGGATGTAGATGTTGGTGCAGATGTGGATGCAGATATAGACACGGATGTAGATGTAGGGGCAGATGTGGATGCAGATATAGACACGGATGTAGATGTTGGTGTAGATGTAGGTGCAGATATAGAAACAGATGTAGATGTAGGTGCAGATGTGGATGCAGATAAAGACACAGATGTAGATGTAGGTGCAGATATAGACACAGATGTAGATGTAGGTGCAGGTATAGACACAGATGTAGATGTAGGTGCAGATATAGACACAGATGTAGATGTTGGTGTAGATGTAGGTGCAGATGTAGACACAGATGTAGATGTAGGGGCAGATGTGGATGTAGATATAGACACGGATGTAGATGTTGGTGCGGATGAGGATGCAGATATAGACACGGATGTAGATGTTGGTGCAGATGTGGATGCAGATATAGACACAGATGTAGATGTAGGTGCAGATGTGGATGAAGATATAGACACGGATGTAGATGTTGGTGTAGATGTAGGTGCAGATGTAGACACAGATGTAGATGTAGGAACAGATGTGGATGCAGATAAAGACACAGATGTAGATGTAGGTGCAGATATAGACACGGATGTAGATGTTGGTGCAGATGTGGATGCAGATATAGACACGGATGTAGATGTAGGGGCAGATGTGGATGCAGATATAGACACAGATGTAGATGTAGGTGCGGATGTGGATGCAGATAAAGACACAGATGTAGATGTAGGTGCAGATTTAGTCACAGATGTAGATGTTGGTGCAGATGTGGATGCAGATATAGACACGGATGTAGATGTAGGGGCAGATGTGGATGCAGATATAGACACGGATGTAGATGTTGGTGTAGATGTAGGTGCAGATATAGACACACATGTAGATGTAGGTGCAGATTTAGTCACAGATGTAGATGTAGGTGCAGATTTAGTCACAGATGTAGATGTTGGTGCAGATGTGGATGCAGATATAGACACAGATGTAGATGTTGGTGTAGATGTAGGTGCAGATGTAGACACAGATGTAGATGTGGATGCAGATAAAGACACAGATGTAGATGTAGGTGCAGATTTAGTCACAGATGTAGATGTTGGTGCAGATGTGGATGCAGATATAGACACAGATGTAGATGTTGGTGTAGATGTAGGTGCAGATGTAGACACAGATGTAGATGTTGGTGTAGATGAAGGTGCAGATATAGACACAGATGTAGATGTTGGTGTAGATGTAGGTGCAGATGTAGACACAGATGTAGATGTTGGTGTAGATGAAGGTGCAGGTATAGACACGGATGTAGATGTAGATGCAGATATAGACACGGATGAAGATGTAGGTGCAGATGTGGATGTAGATATAGACACGGATGTAGATGTTGGTGCGGATGTGGATGTAGATATAGACACGGATGTAGATGTTGGTGCAGATATAGACACGGATGTAGATGTTGGTGCAGATATAGACACGGATGTAGATGTAGGTGCAGATGTGGATGTAGATATAGACACGGATGTAGATGTTGGTGCAGATGTGGATGTAGATATAGACACGGATGTAGATGTTGGTGCGGATGTGGATGTAGATATAGACACGGATGTAGATGTTGGTGCGGATGTGGATGCAGATATAGACACGGATGTAGATGTTGGTGCAGATGTGGATGCAGATATAGACACGGATGTAGATGTTGGTGCAGATGTGGATGAAGATATAGACACGGATGTAGATGTTGGTGTAGATGTAGGGGCAGATGTAGACACAGATGTAGATGTAGGAACAGATGTGGATGCAGATAAAGACACAGATGTAGATGTATGTGCAGATATAGACACGGATGTAGATGTTGGTGCAGATGTGGATGCAGATATAGACACGGATGTAGATGTAGGGGCAGATGTGGATGCAGATATAGACACAGATGTAGATGTTGGTGCGGATGTGGATGCAGATAAAGACACAGATGTAGATGTAGGTGCAGATATAGACACAGATGTAGATGTAGGTGCAGATATAGACACAGATGTAGATGTAGGGGCAGATGTAGACACAGATGTAGATGTAGGGGCAGATGTGGATGCAGATATAGACACAGATGTAGATGTATGTGCAGATCAAGACACAGATGTAGATGTAGGTGCAGATATAGACACGGATGTAGATGTAGGTGCAGATGTGGATGCAGATATAGACACGGATGTAGATGTAGGGGCAGATGTGGATGCAGATATAGACACGGATGTAGATGTAGGGGCAGATGTGGATGCAGATATAGACACGGATGTAGATGTTGGTGTAGATGTAGGTGCAGATATAGACACGGATGTAGATGTTGGTGTAGATGTAGGTGCAGATATAGACACAGATGTAGATGTTGGTGTAGATGTAGGTGCAGATATAGACACGGATGTAGATGTTGGTGTAGATGTAGGTGCAGATGTAGACACGGATGTAGATGTTGGTGTAGATGTAGGTGCAGATGTAGACACGGATGTAGATGTTGGTGTAGATGTAGGTGCAGATGTAGACACAGATGTAGATGTTGGTGTAGATGAAGGTGCAGGTATAGACACGGATGTAGATGTAGATGCAGATATAGACACGGATGAAGATGTAGGTGCAGATGTGGATGTAGATATAGACACGGATGTAGATGTTGGTGCAGATATAGACACGGATGTAGATGTAGGTGCAGATGTGGATGTAGATATAGACACGGATGTAGATGTTGGTGCAGATGTGGATGTAGATATAGACACGGATGTAGATGTTGGTGCGGATGTGGATGTAGATATAGACACGGATGTAGATGTTGGTGCGGATGTGGATGCAGATATAGACACGGATGTAGATGTTGGTGCAGATGTGGATGCAGATATAGACACGGATGTAGATGTTGGTGCAGATGTGGATGAAGATATAGACACGGATGTAGATGTTGGTGTAGATGTAGGGGCAGATGTAGACACAGATGTAGATGTAGGAACAGATGTGGATGCAGATAAAGACACAGATGTAGATGTATGTGCAGATATAGACACGGATGTAGATGTTGGTGCAGATGTGGATGCAGATATAGACACGGATGTAGATGTAGGGGCAGATGTGGATGCAGATATAGACACAGATGTAGATGTTGGTGCGGATGTGGATGCAGATAAAGACACAGATGTAGATGTAGGTGCAGATATAGACACAGATGTAGATGTAGGTGCAGATATAGACACAGATGTAGATGTAGGGGCAGATGTAGACACAGATGTAGATGTAGGGGCAGATGTGGATGCAGATATAGACACAGATGTAGATGTATGTGCAGATCAAGACACAGATGTAGATGTAGGGGCAGATGTAGACACGGATGTAGATGTAGGTGCAGATGTGGATGCAGATATAGACACGGATGTAGATGTAGGGGCAGATGTGGATGCAGATATAGACACGGATGTAGATGTAGGGGCAGATGTGGATGCAGATAAAGACACGGATGTAGATGTTGGTGTAGATGTAGGTGCAGATATAGACACGGATGTAGATGTT